TTCCCACCCTCCAGCTGGGATTTGGGTGGACCTGGATCCCTTTTCCTAAGCTCCTCGGTATGGGCTGTCCCTTCCCACCCTCCAGCTGGGATTTGGATTTGGATCCCTTTTCCCAGGGCACTGTGTGAGTTATCCATGTTTCCCAGGGGTGTGCATCGAGCTGAGCTCCCTACAGGTGCCCAAGCCCATGGTGATCCTGCCGTTCATGAAGTACGGAGACCTGCACAGCTTCCTGCTCCGCTCCCGGCTGGAAATGGCCCCCCAGGTAGGGAGCTCCAGGAGCAGAGGAGTGGCATGGGATTGAGGTGGGAAGGGAATCAAGAGAATCTTGCTCTGCAGGTCCTGCAGGCTCATGGGTCAATGAATGGCAGGGTCTGAGGGATGAGAGCTCATCTGCTACCGTGGGCTCATCCGTTGAGATGGCAGGCCTGGATAGGGAAGCCTTTTGGATCAACACTGTGTAATTCCCACCTTTCCTCCCCAGTTTGTGCCCCTGCAGACCCTGGTGAAGTTCATGGTGGACATTGCCCTGGGCATGGAATACCTGAGCAGTCGGAACTTCCTCCACAGGGACCTGGCAGCTCGAAACTGCATGTGAGTGTTTTCCTCTGCTCCGTCCCACGGGATGAACCTTGTGGATTTACAGCACAACTCTGCTCCTTGCAATAAAAGTTCCCTTGGTTTTGAGACCCAGAGCTCAGCCTGGGGTTTGTGTGCGTGGCCCTGGGGCTGTCCTGATGCCTCTTTGCCCCCAGGCTGCGGGATGACATGACGGTGTGCGTGGCAGACTTTGGGCTCTCCAAGAAGATCTACAGCGGGGATTACTATCGGCAGGGCCGCATCGCCAAGATGCCGGTCAAGTGGATCGCCCTCGAGTCCCTGGCCGACCGTGTCTACACCACCAAGAGTGACGTGGTAGGTCCCCATGCCTGGAGGGACAGTCCCTTGAGCTGAGCCACTCCGTGCTGCTGTTGGTGTCATTCCCTGGAAGTGCAGGAGGCTGTCAGGCGCAGTCAGTTCCTTGAGTGGGCCCCTTGCCTCTGTCCTGGTCATTCCCAGTTTTGGGAGCACCACAGCTCTGCTCGTTGTCCCTTGGATGCCAGGCAGTGACCTTTCCCCATGAAAAGGTTCATTCCATTCATTCTTCCTGGAAGTGTCCCTTCAGCCTTGGCCTTTTCCCTTTGTGCCGGCAGTGGGCATTTGGCGTCACCATGTGGGAGATCGCCACGCGCGGGATGACGCCGTACCCAGGGGTGCAGAACCACGAAATCTACGAGTACCTCTTCCATGGGCAGCGCCTGAAGAAGCCCGAGGATTGCCTGGATGAGCTGTGAGTCCTAGGATCCCAGCTGGGAAAATGGATTTTCCTAGGAACAAACCCCTTAATGTTTGCACAACGTGCCTAAGGAAAGCTGGATCCTGGAGCAGAGCATGTGTCAGCATCTGCTGAACTCCAGGCAAAAATCCCATCAATTGTCCTCAGGGGAAGCAATGGGTTTGTAGGGCTGGCAAGGTCACCAGGAACAGTCAGTGATGGGACTTTTTAATATTTTATTTCTTTTTTTTTTTAATTTGTTTTGGCCAAAAAGGTCCTGGCTGGTGATGCTCCTCTTTGTTCCACAAAACTCCCTCTAGGTCCCTTCCTTGTCTCAAATCAATAAATCTGTGTCCCCCTGGAAAGGGAAAATGCAGAATACACAAACCTTTGGATTTCTGAGCAGCTCAGCAAAGGCCTTTTTTCCCAGGCTTCTTTCCTGAGTTTTTCTCCAGTGCTGTTAGAGCTGAAAATATTTAACCCCCCATGGCTGAGAGCGTTGAACCCCAACTGGATAAACAGAGTTGTACATTTCCTAAAAGGCTTCCTTCCACTGCCTGTTCCTGAAGGAAGCAGTGCAAGAACCTCTAAGAATCAGCCTGCTAGAGGAGAGAGGCTGGCAGGGACATGCTGGGAGCTTCCAGGGCTCCCTGACATCCAGCCTGGGAGCAGGCACCTGCCAAGGGAAGGACTGGGCATTCCACACACAGAGCTGGGATGTTCCCAGGGAACAGATCCCAGGGCTGCACTGGAAGAGACTTCTCACACTTCTAACAGCAGCTTGGGCTGATAAATCCATGCCCTTGGGAAACAGCCTGAGCAGAGGGAGTTGGTTTCACTTTGATTTAATGGGAATTTCAAGGCTTACCCAGCTTGGAGGAAAACTGGGTCCTCATACCTCCCCTAATCCAGAGGAGTGCAGGCTGCCCAGAGAATCTGTGGCTGCTCCATCCCTGGAAGTGTTCAAGGACAGCTGGGAGCTACTGGGATGGTGGAAGGTGCCCCTGCCCATGCTAGCAGGGTGGGACTGGATGAGCTTTAAGGTCCCTTGCAAACCAAACCATTCTGGGATGCTGGTATCCCCTGTTAACCACACTCCTCTCCCAATTTCCAGGTATGAAATAATGTCCGAGTGCTGGAGAGCCGACCCTGCCACTCGCCCCACCTTCTCCCAGCTCAAAGTCCAGCTGGAGAAGCTGCTGGAAAACCTGCCCAGCACCAAGGCATGCGGGGACATCATCTACATCAACACCGGCCTTCCCGAGCAGAGCCCGGACTCCACGCAGGATTCCGGCTTCCCGCAAGCGGACTCGGATTTGGACGCCGGGGAGGCGTCGGAGCCCGGCTCCCCCGGCGCGGAGGCGGCGCTGGTGGCTGTGGATGTGCATCCCAGCGAGCCGTGGGACGCCAGGTACATTGTGGAGGAGCAGCTCGCTGGCCCCGTGGAGGAGCCCTACGTGCCACTGCTTCCCTGCCAGGCCCTGGAGCCGGGGAGCCGATGGAGCCAGGCCAGCACTTTGCCGGCGTCGGAGCGGCCGCGTGCCGGGAGCTGCGGGGAGGACTCGGAAGTGCCGCCGGGAATGGTGTGAGGGGCACCACGGCAAGGACACAGAGGGAATATTTTAATAAACAGTCGTCTCTTTTATTTATTATCTCCTGCACGGTTTTCCTGGTGGAGGCTGGCTCTCCCCAGGAGCTTTTTCCTGGGCTGAGGTCCCAGGGGTTTGGAATTAACAGTGGAATTATTTTGCTGTAATTATTCATCTTCTCCAGAAGGAGCAGAGCAGGGTGGGGTGGATGGTGCTGAGGGGGCAGGTGGCCTTGCAGGGCCTGGTGTTTTCCCCATTTTCCATCACGTGTTAAGGTTTGTGGGATGGGCATTCCCCTGGATGATGAGTGCTCCAGCTCTACAGCGTGCTGGGGGATTTCACACTGCAAGAGATCCCCATGGAAAACAGCAATGGGAGCTCCAGTGGGAGCAGTGGGTGCTCCCACATTCCCTTCTCCCTGACGGGTTTCCTTCCATCCCATCTGCATGCTAAGGAACCATCGCTCCTGCTGCAACCAGGGAGACAGGAGCCTGAGGGGGTCCCGGGAGGGCAGGAGCCCCCCAGACATGTCCTGGCCCTCCCCTTCTGCTCCTTCTCCTTTTGGGGGGAATTCTGCTGCTTCCATAGCTGGGGCTGCTCAGCAGCGACCAGAACCGGACCCAGCACCTCTTGCCTTTCCTTGGGGGAGACCGGGCTGGAAATGGGGGGACCGAACTGAGGGCAGGGGGAAGGCATTTTGGGGCTGGGGAAAGGGATGCAGTGACTGAGGTGGGGTGCAGGAGCTGGAAAACGGGGAACCGAGCTGGGGAGGGGGCGCAGGGCTGGGAAAAGGTTTCCCTGCCCGGCGCAGGGGGGCTGACAGGGGCTCCTGCACGGTGCCCGCTCTCGGCAGCACCACAAACAGCTTTGCGGGGGGAAAAGCCACCCTCCCGCGCCCCAGCCGCCGGGCATGGATGCCCACAGCCGGTGTCCCGGGGGATGGGTGCCCGCAGAGCCCGGCCGGTGTCCCGGGGGATGGTTGCCGCAGCGCCCCGCCGGTGTCCCGGGGGATGCGCGGGGCCGGCCCGGCGCCGGGGCGGGGAAGCGCCGCGTCCCCTGCAACCGCACCATGGCGGGGCCGCGGGGGGCGCGGGGCCGCCTCCCGCCGCTGCTGCTGCTGCTGCCGCTGCTGCTGCCGCTCCCGGCCGCGCCGGCCGCCCAGGTGAGGGGGCACCGGGACCCCGGGAGGGGCTTGGGGGGGCGCGGGGCTCCTCTCCGCTTCCCGCTCGCTGCCCGCTGCCGTGAGCCCCGACAGCCCCGCAGCGCCGCTGCCCCGGCAAACAGGTGGGCAAAGCCCCAACCCGCGCTCGAACTGCACAAGAGCCGCGCTTAAAGCGCGCGCGGCTTCTTTTGGGCTCTTTTCGCCCTTCTCACCCCACACCTGAAGCTGCCCCCGAGCACACCGGCAGCAAAGGGTCCCCCTTTTGGGGCTTTTTTGGGGGGATTTTCCAGCTTTGCGATGGCTCAGCATCCCGCCGGAGCTCGCGCTGGCTCACGGAGTTAAACCCAGCCCTAACAAAGAGCTGTTTATTAAAGCCAGCGACGCGCCAGCATCTATTTGCTTTTGCCTCCTTCCTCTGGGCTCGGGGTATTCCAGAGCTGCCAGCACAGCACGGCTCATCCCCCCGGCAGCCCGGGATCCCCGGACCTGCCCCCGGGGAAGCAGAGGACACCGAGCGCATTGCTTGGGCTGCTGTGTTTGTCCTCTCTCCACCCTCAGCAGCTCTTTGGAAACGGGAATCATTCCACAGTGCGGTTATGGAAAGGGGGGAAGAAATCCCTTTGACCAGGTGGGACAGAGCCCACCACCTCCGCTCGCTTTCCCGGAATTCCATAGCCCCCAGCCCAGACCCTGTGTGCTCACTGCGCTCCCCAGATTTCTGAGCTCTGGGAACGGCTTTGCTCTTTTTCCTCGGTTTCAAGTCAATTCCACAGGAATCCCATAATAACGGTGCCCGTCTCCGGCATGAGTCAGTCCCGTGGGAGCGATCGGTTTGCAGGCAGGAGTCCCACCAGCGTTCCTGGCCACGGCAGAGCTCACAAGACAGCTGTTTTCCTCTTCTTTTGTCATGTGGAAGTGGGACAGGGCTGGAGCTCCTGCAGGATGAAACATGAGTTATAGCATCTCTCCCACAAAGCGATCCCAGCCCTGCCTGGAGCGCAGGCCTAGGTGGAAAAAACTCCTGGATCTGGATAAATGCAGGGAAAAATACAAAGTCAAGGCGCTCAGGGAACATCGGATGCTGCGGAGCTCCCGCGCTGGCCTCCTCCCATGGGCAGCAGGTTGGCTCCTGGGAGGAGTGGCAGCACAGGAAGGTCCCCATCCCTGTCCCTGTCCCTGTTCCCGCAGAGCTGCCTCAGCAGGCAGCAGCTCCTGGCTGCCATCCGGCAGATGCAGCAGCTGCTGAAGGGGCAGGAGACGCGGTTCTCCGAAGGGCTGCGCGCCGTGAGGAGCCGCCTGAGCACCATCCACGCCTCCCTGGCCAAGGCCGCCCCGGAGCCGCCCCCCGGTGAGTCCCTGGGACAGCATTCCAGGGAAATAGGGTGGCTTGGAAGGATAGGGCCCCCTCCAAACTCATCCCCTTTCCATGGTCTCGCAGCCGCCTGTCCTGCCCTCCAAGCCCCTGTGGATGGGAGGAAGTTCGGCACCAAATATTTGGTGGATCACGAGGTTCACTTCGCCTGTGATCCAGGATTCCAGCTCCTGGGCTCCAGCACTCGGATATGCCAGGCCAACGGCAGCTGGACAGGGCAGGAGGCCCGCTGTGCAGGTACATTGTCTGCCCTGGAACATCCTTTGGAAAAGTGGATTTATATAAACATGGGGGGATATCGGGGTGCTCAAAGTCGGGAGGGATCGCAGCTACCCCCCAAAGTTCCAGGGATGCTGCAGCTCCCATGGTTTTGGGATTTCTCTGTCTTAAGGAAAACTGGGAATTACAGCTGGAGCAGCTCAGCAGGAGAGATGAGGGGAAATGGTATCCTGCCTATGACGTGCCATAGGGTACCAAAGCATCCCGGTGTGTGCAGCACTCCTGAGCCTTGCTTCCCAAAAGGAGATAACACGGAGCATGCCTGCTTTCCCTGCAGAGATCAGAGAGTGCTCAAGCAGCCCCTGCCAGAATGGCGGGACGTGCCTGGAGGGTCTCAACCACTTCAGATGCCTCTGTCCCCCGCAGTGGACCGGGACCACGTGCCAGTACCAGGCTCAGACTGGTGGGTGCCCCTTGCTGGGGGATAAACGGGAGTATTTCATCCCCGACCTCATCCCAACTCCCCATCCCGCCGTTTTCCCGCAGCTCCTCCCACCTGGAGCGTGACGGGCGACCCGGCCTTCAGCCGGCAGCCCCGCTGTGCCCAGATCGCCCAGACCCAGCAGTGCAGCTGCGATCCCGGCTTCCACATGAGCGGCACGGCTTCCAACGGGATCTGCCAGGGTGAGCCGGGATACGGGCGGGCTGCGGGGCTGCCTCGGTGCCCGGTCCCCTCACAGAGCCACACTGGGAGGGACCACAGCGGCTCAGCCCCACCATCCCAGAGCACACAGCACGGGATGTGCTGGGTCCAGCTGGTGCTGGAATATCTCCAGTGGGGGCTGCTCCAAGCTCCCTCGGGAGGCTCCAGCCCCTTGATCCAAGCCATGGATGGCTGAGTGCAAACCGGGCCCAGTGTCGCCCTCTGCGGGACACCGCTGGTCACAGCTGCTCCCGTTCCCTGGAATCTGCCGTCAGCCCCTTCCCAGCCCACCTCAGGCCCGCTCCCTGGGTTTTCCCAGGAGGCTGGAGGGAGATCTTGGTGAATCCCTGTCTCCGCAGACCTCAACGAGTGCGAGGTGTACCAGCAGCAAGGGGGACCCCGGCTCTGTGCCCACGCCTGTGTCAACATTCCCGGCTCCTTCCACTGCTCCTGCCCCGCCGGATACGTCCTGCTGGGCGATGGCAAGAGCTGCGAAGGTGAGGAGGCTGGAATCCCCTTGGTCCCAAGTGCTCTGCCATTTTCCCCCACTTTTTTTTCCATATCCAAGGGAAAGGCTGGTGTAGAGGGGAGGGGGATGATGGAGCGATGCTTTGCAGGATGGCAGCGGATGGAGGATGTTTGGATTGGCAGGAGCTCCAGCTGGATGTGGAGCTGGGTGGGGAAATGAATCCCAGGGTTGTGCTGGGGAAGGGAAAACTCCACCAGAGTGCTTCAAAAGAATCCCTAAAAATGAAAATAAAATGCTTTTCCGGAGGCATGGCTGCACCTCTCCCTCTCCTCCTTTCCCTTTCCCTCTCCCTTCTCCTTTACCTCTCTGGATGATGGAGCGACACTTTGGGTCTGCAGCTCCTTGAAGATGACCCCACTGTGGCTGTGGGCATGTTCCTGGAGCAGGGAAATCCTGGGAAGAACCAAAAGTAATGTTAAACTTCCAGAATTCCATTATCAGATCAGAGAGTGGCAGCATCTCTCCCAATCCAAGGAAACTGGGGTGCAGGTGGAAGGCAGCGGGTGGGAATGGTAGGAGGCCAAAACTGCTGAAAGCCTCCTGTAAAACCGGGAATTTTTTGTGCCCTGAAGTGTTGATTGCTGCAGTTCGGGGTGAGAAAATCCCTATTTCCCCATTCCTTCCTGATTTTCCTGTATTCCATGGCATCTCACTAATGCTCCCAGCAAATCCTCTGCATTCCAGCTCCTGCCATGCGTCCCATGGGCGTTCAGTAAATAAAAAGGGATGGTGTTTCCAAACAATCAAGCAGAAAGTTTGGAAAAGCAGCTGCCTTCCTGCTGGCAGAGAGCTGCTCTTAACCCCTGCTGGCCCGGGGCAGAGCTTGGGGAGAGAATTCCAGGATGCTCCCATATTTTTTGGATTGCGTTTAACCTGTTTCAAGGCGGTTTTGCCTATTTTCTGATGGAAAGGTGAGCTCACTTGGAGGCTTCCAGGCCCTGACCCCGCTTCCCGCCCCTGTTTTCCAGATATTGACGAGTGCTCCCTATCCCAGGACAACTGCACGAGCGGGAGCACCTGCATCAACACCGGGGGGGGATTCCAGTGCGTCACCCCGCAGTGTCCCCCGCCCGCTGGCAACGTCTCCTACGTCAAAACCTCCCCCTTGTAAGTGCGGGGCACAAAATCCACGGCACGGCATCCCTATGGATCCAATGCCAGCGGGGCGGGGGGCACGGAGGCCGCGTTCCCGAAAAATCTCCCGTTGCTTTTCCTTTTTGCAGCCAGTGCGAGCGCAACCCGTGCCCCATGGAGAGCCGCTCGTGCCACCAGGCCCCCAAAACCATCTCCTTCCATTACCTCCCTCTTCCCTCCAAGCTCCAGACTCCGGCGCCGCTGTTCCGCATGGCCACGGCGGCGGCTCCCGGCCGGCCGGGCTCCGACAGCCTCCGCTTCGGCATCGCGGGCGGGAACAACCGCGGGCACTTCGTGGTGCAGCGCTCGGACCGGCACACCGGGGAGCTGCTGCTGGTGCAGAGCCTGCAGGGGCCCCGCACCGTCCACGTGGACGTGGACATGGCCGAGTACCTGGATCGCGCCTTCCAGGCCAAGCACCTCTCCAAAATCACGCTCTTCGTCTCGGCTTATGAGTTCTAGGTGTGGCTCCTGCTCCCTGCTCGGCATCCCACGGCTCCCAGGGGAAGTCCAGGCTGGAGCTGCTCTGTAGACATCCGGTCCCTCCCCTCTGTCCCAAAGTTCTTCTTCTATGTGTATCTAGGTGGATTTACACCACCAAATGAGGTGGACAAGCAGTGGGAAGCCCCATCCTCATCCTGGCTCCACAGCCCTGATTTCCTTTGAATTCCCATTTTTTCCTTCGAATTCCCATTTTTTCCTTTGAATTCCCATTTTTTCCTTCAGGAAGCAGTGAAGCCAAGTGTGTGGGAAGAGGGAGGCTCGTGGCCTTTCCTGCTCCCACCTTGATGCACCCAGTCCTGCTCCCTAAAAATACACTTCCACTTCCCTTTGGATGCTGAGAATCCCCCTGGCAGCCTGTAGGGATCGAGGTCTGGTGCCTCAATCCCCTGGGATTGATCAGGGCTGGAGCACTCCATGAACATCCACCCGGGTGCCCTCCTTGGCAAGCGGGGCAAAGGAGGAATTCCAGGGCTATCCCTGCTCCTTAAACCTCTCAAATGGGGATCCCCCATGGATCCTCCTCACAGCAGAGCTTCAGCTGCATGTGGAGGTGGGAATATTCCCTGCTTCATCAGTAAGAGCCTCCATCCTGACGTAGGAATGCTGGGAAGAGCTGGCATTCAGCTTTTCCCAGGGGGATTCACCCTCCTGCTTGTGCATGTTCTGCATGTTCCCTCATCCCACTGGATTTAGTACAATTAAAGGATGATGTAAAGGATGTCACCGGAGTGAAGCACCTGATGGATGTGTGGATGGGGGGAATGCTCACCCGGAGCAGGCCAAGGGGAATTGGGGTCTGGGAGGGCAAGAACCTGTCATCCATGGCTTTATTTTCCTGCTTTGTTTTGTTTGGGAGAGGCTGGCTGACACCAGGGGGCTCATTCCCACTGGAGCATCCTCATCCCTGAGCATTTTCAGCCTGGAGCATTCTTTCCTCCCAAGGAATCCTCACCCTGGGAATCCTCATCCCTGAGCATCCTTTCCCCTGGGAATCCTCACTCCCTTACATCCTGCTGAGCTGCACCCACTAAAACCATTCCCACTCCTTGTCCCGGGGAAAGAGACCTCCCAAGATGGATCTGTCTCCTCTGGGCGACTGAGCTCCTGGATTTTTGGGGGATATTTTTTGGAGCCTGGGAAGGGGTTGGATCTCTCCAGCAGAACAAGAAGGGACATTCAGGGCTGTTGTCGGCGGATGGAGGATGTTTGGATTGGCGGGAGCTCTGGCTGGACGTGGAGCTGGGCAGGAAAATGTATCCCAAGGTTGTGCTGGGGGAGGGAAGGGAAAACTCCAGAGTGCTTCAAAAATATCCCCAAAAATGAGGAGAAAATGCTTTTCTAGAAGCACGGCTGCTCCTCTCCCTGCCGCTTCCCAGCCTGGCTGGACATGCTCCTCCAACGGGCCATGACCCTGTTGTGGGATGATAACAAAATCTGGGAATTGAAAACCAGGAATCTGGGAGAGGACAAGCTCCCGACAGGGCAGAATCGTTTCCATCTGCTGCTTTCTCCGGATAGCACAGCTGGAGACGGGCGCCTGGACCGCGCTCCGGAGGCTTTTCCTTGCGGCACCATCCCAAGCTGACAACATTTTCCTAATTCCCGAGGCCAGGGTGAGCTGGTTTCTCCCTTCCAGCCCTGGAAAAGTTTAAGTTCGGCTCTTTGCCTTTCTCAACCTCTGGCTGCCATTCCAGTTGACTAAAGGAGATTTTTTTTTTCCCTTCCCAGAGCAGCCGCTCCGGCATCTTTCAGACTTCCTGAGGTTGGAATTTGCAGAGCGAGGCTTTTCGGGTCTTGAAATACAACTTTCATTTGGGAAAATAATATCTGGGAGCTGAAAAAATAGCAGGAATGCTTCTGCTTCCTTTTGGTGGGCACAGCTGGCCCCAGATGTGCTGTCCCAAAACCACCATTTCCCACCCCAGAATATGTAACCAAAACTTTAGGATTCTTCCTTCGAGTCCAGATTTAAAATCCCTTTTTTTTTGCTTGCCTATGGCTTGGGGAGATGACGCTGAGTCCTGTGGGCATCAGCTCCAGGGCTCCACCTGTGCTGATGGGGCTAATTAGTCCTAGGCTAATTAGTCCTAAGCAGCCCTAATGACGCTCCCCAGCCGCCACCACCTCGTTCCCTGTAGGAATGCTGTTTTCCAGCCTTTTCCTTGGATTTACCTGATTTCCCTGATGATTTGGATCTTTAGTCCTGTTTGCCTTGCTCAGGTGTGCGAGGCCCAAGGGAGATTAATCTTCCCTTAAGGAGCTGAGGCTCCTCCCACTCGGAATGCCATGGGAATCCATGCGAGCGTTCCGCCCTGTTTTTATAAAGTTTATCCGGTTGCTAGCACTGGAAAAAGCCGAGCTCCGCGTCCTGAAAAGCCCCGAGAGGCAGGGAAACAGCCTGGACAGGATAAAAATGTAACTTTCCCCGGGAACGTTCTGATTAAACGTCATTGGAGTGACTCTGACAAACACGTCTTCCCTTCGCCCACCACATTTTTATTAAGTGACTGTCTTGGAACCACTTTATCGCGGGCTTTGTCACGCCCTGACCCCGACGGCGACTCCAGGGACCGCTTCTGTCCCGCCCCGGGGCCACACGCTCTCGGTTTAATTACGAGCGTCACTAATTAATGACGCGAGGGCCGCTTCCCCTCACACACACCGGCCGCCAGGGGGCGCTGCCCACAGTGCGTGAGGGGAGGGGGGGCGGCGGCCATGACGCAGTGGCGGGAGGGGAGGCCCATTCCCGCTCCCGGTGCCCGTCCCGGTTCTCGCCAGGCGGAAGCCGCCGCCCTTTTCCCCCTTTCCCTCCCTTTTCCCCCCTTTTTTCCCCACCATTCCCGGGGGGACGCCGCCGTCACGTGACGGGCGCGGGGCACGTGACGCCACGCGCGGCGAGGCCCCGCCCCCTTCGCGCGCGCACGGCGGCGGCGGCGGCCGAGGGGAAGCGGAGGAGGGCGGGGCCCGCGCGTGACGTCGCCGCGAGGTTGACGGGCGTGGCGGAGAGCCAATGAACGCGCGAGACGCCGCGGCCGCGGCCAATGGCGGCGCGCGGGGGGGGCGGGCCCAGGGCCGCGGCGGAGGAGGAGGAGGAGCACGGCGGGCGGCGGCGGCGGCGTGAGGGGACGCGACGACATCGCGGCCCCGGCGGGCGCGGAAGACGCTGTGGCGGCGGCGGCGGCGCGTGCGGGCCGCGGGCGCTGAGCGAGCGTGTGCGGGCAAAGCGCCGGGGGCCGCTGCCGCCGCTGCTGCTGCCGCCGTTCTCCTCCTCCTCCTTCTCTTCCCTCAGCCGCCGCCGCCATTTTGTGCGAGTGCCTCGCGCGGGCGCCATGTTTGTAAGGAAGAATTAGGGCCGCCATCTCCGGCCAGCAGCACCTCCCTCCCCCCGTGTGTGTGTCCTCCCGCTCTCCTGTGCCCCGGGGCTGCCGCTCGAGCCGCCGCCGCCGCCACCGCCTCCCCGCAGCGCCCGCGCGGGGCGGCCGGGCCCGGGCGCTGAGTGCCCGTTAGTGTCTCACTAAGTAACCGTGAGTGCAAACCTTCATCATCTCTCCTCACTGAGGGGCCCGGCCCTCCTCCTCCTCCTCACCGAGCCGCCCCCAGCGCGGCCGTGCGCGCCGCCGCCGCCGCCGCCTCCTCCCGCCGCTCCGCACCGCGGGCAGCGGCGGGGCCCTGCCTTCCTCCACCTCCCTCCTCCTCCTCCTCCTCACCACACCACAGCCAGGCACAATGGCCTTTGAAAGCCTGTTCTCCAAACCCCCAAACCCAGTTCTTGACCCAAACATGCCCGACTCTGACAGGCAACATGCAGGGGACGAAAGGTCGAGTAACATTCTTCTCTCTCTCCGCTTCTCATAATGGTGGTACTTAGTGGGGTGATGCTGGTAATGATGATGATGATGCTGATGCTGATGATGATGCTCTGTTAATGTGCCTGAGGGGGTTAACGATGTTTTTGGGGGGCAGGTCACCTTCAGGCTGGAGCGGGGTGGTGGTGGTGGGGAATGCAAATTGGGGAGGGGGGTGTCACTGCATTAAAAGTGCATTTTTTTTAGCAAAGTTTTAATTTTTCCTTTTGGAATGCATGCGTTTTTACATCTTCATTGATTGATTCTGGCTGGGAAGGGGGGCTGTTTGCCATTCTTTCCATAAATTGCACTTTCCAGGGGGTGTCTGTTGAATGTCACCATTGTTCTCTGTCTCAGGCAGGAAAGGGTGCTCCGAGTTGGGCGGGTTTTTTATTTTTGGCTGTTTTTGTTGATACCACAATCTCTCACTAGAGCCATATTTAACGTCATTTTCTTGCCAGATTCCACCTTACACATTTAACTGGATCTTTTTTATGCAGATTAAGGGCTGACTGACGTTATCTTTGCCACCTCTCAATCCCCATGCGCAGAAACCCAGAGTCCTGTTCCTGGTGAAAGGACCTCTGTTGCTCCCTCCCTCCTTCCCTCCCTCCTTTTCTCTCCTGCAGCTGCTGGAAATTCAAATCCTTTCTCCAGGCAGCTCTGGCCTTCCTAACTAGTTCCAAAAATACCGTGCCAGGGTGGCAGTTGCCAGTGCTTGATCCTGCATCTACCCTGAGCCTTCCTGACAGAGCTGCAGGAGTTAAAAACGCCGGGGTTTTGGCATTCCCAGGGCTTGGCCTCCCCCCACACAGCTCCACAACCATTTGTGGTACTTCAGAGGACAGGGAAACACTGGGAAAAAACCCAAACAAACAGACAAACAAAAAGAAAAGCTGCTGGGTAAATGCAAAACTGTTTCCTTGTTGGAGAAAAGAGCCCCGAGTTCTGTGTTATAAATTGGGAAGTGGTCCCAAAATGCTCCTCGGGTTTAGTGCAAGGGTCAGGGCAGAGCCCAGAGCTGCTGGTGCTTGTTTCCCCTTCCTGCTTGTCCTTGGGAAACGCTCCTGGGATTTAGTGCAAGGGTCAGGGCAGAGCCCAGAGCTGCTGGTGTTGTTTTCCACTTCCTGGTTGTCCTTGGGAAGTGATCCCTAAAATGGGCCTGGGGTTTAGTGCAAGTCCAGGGCAGAGCCCAGAGCTACCAGGTCTTGTTTTCCCCTTCCTGCTTGTCCTTGGCAAGGGTGGAAGTTGTGTCATGCTCTGTTTTCCAAGCTGAGTGCACACCAGGAACCCGCTGGGAGCTCTGGAGCTGGGGCAGAGCTGTGCTGTGGAGTTCCTGCAATCAGGCTGTGACTTTTCACTGTTTCAGGGATTGAAAATATCTGTGGAGTTCTCAAATCCTTGAGGACAAGCCCGAGTGACTCCGGGTAGTGCTGGGAGCAGAGTTTTTCCAGCTTGGAGTTCTCATCCTCTCACCAGCTGTTCCCACCAGTACAACCAGTTGTGACACTGGTAATTGTGCAATAGAGCCAATAAGTGCCACCTAACAACCTAATTAATTTTAATTTACAAGTGTTGCTTTATAATGTTTTAATTTATGAGGTGAAGAGCAACAATACACACGACCTGGGAGATCATAACTTGTACTTTTTCTAAAGCTTCAGCTCTGTAAAATGAGTTCATTCACTTCAAAAAAGGCCCAACTCTGAAGTTTTTGTGTTACACCAGGTGTGCAAATGTAGGACCAGTAAAACCAGTTTACTGCAGGGAACACCCATACTGGCAACCTCGTAATTCCCAATCAATTTGTGCAGCAGGAATTCTGTTAATAGTTTGATTTGAGCTGAACTGTTGAATGATAAAGGAAATTACT